CAGTTAGTTTATGAGTCTGTGGTGAGTCGAGTCTCAGACCTCAGCCCCAGATTCCTCAGTTCGGGTGTGAAACACCCTCCCTGCCTGTGAGCTGGGCTGTGGACACGAGGAACTGCAGCCACGTGGCGAAGTCATCTCGCGGCGGAGAGGGGGCTGCTGGGGGAATTCGGTCCCCAATCAGCAGCTCTGCGCGTTACCCGGAGGGAGGTGCCCTGGGTAGGCTGAAACAAACCCCAGTCCGGGTATTTCTGAGACTGTTCCTCATGCCCTCCCTCTACTATCACCAAAGACGTCCCTTGACATCACAAGAGAGGGGGACAGAACTGATAAGGCAGCTACAAAGTCAGCACGAGTCCGTCCAGTTCGGATACGACAGAAAACGGAGCATGGCCACACCTCGATCAACAGCAGCCTGCTCCGTGGGCACTGCTCTCCCCGAAGCTGGACGTGCGGCGGCGGTGGCGGGGGAAACACACGACGGAAATGTGGGCTCCTTTCATCCTGAAACTCATCTGGGAGCATTTCCTCTGACCATAGCCTCAGGTATTCCTTTGTCACTAATTAGAGAAATACTGAACATTTCAACTATAAATTGCTTAATTATATTTGTCAGCCTGCTCTAAGCCAATTAATTATTTACTTGTAAAAACCTTTGATGCCATGCTGTCCAGAGGTTCCTTTCTGGAACACGGACCAGGGGCTGCATTTCCTCTTCCACCCCAATTAAGCTGAAGGCTCGAGACAGGGAAGTGTTGGTGGCGACGGGCCGTGATCTGCAACACTCCTCGCTGCAGAGACGAACCGCACGCCTTACGGTCCGAGCGCCCGCTGCCCTTCTCACGACAGTAAGTCACGCACGGCCATCACGAAGTGCCTGCGCTCCTCCTCACAGCCTCGTCTCTCGACATCGCTGACAGCACAAACAAGCGTGTTTGGAGAACAATTACAGGGTTTCGCAGGGCCGGAAAGAAGAAACCTCCTCCTATCAGGGCGCCGAGTTCCCTGGACAGCTCACCTCTCCGTGTCTCCCTCTCCATCCCAGGGGAGCAGAGCGCTGTCCTCCGACCGTGTGCTCAGCCCTGGGCCCCGGCACCGAGAAGCCCACAGTGGGCACATGCTGGCTGAGTGACCACCGCCACCAGGCACCGCCCTGGCACCCACCTGCTGGGCAAAGCGGACCTGCTCCCTGGCTCAGCGGAGCTTCGAGTCGAGTGGGAATTGCAGACGTCAGTAATGAGCACAGGCGTGAGTATGATCGTCCACTTACTGGCTGCAGTGCTAAGTGCAGAGAAGGAGATACCGAAGGTCGTAACAGCATGAAACAGCGTCTGGGCCCGGCCACTGTGGCTCAGGGGTTGAGTGTTGACCCTGCACCAAGAGGTCACCCTTTCGATTCCCGGTCAGGGCACATGCCCAGGCTGGGAGCCTGATCCCCGGTGGGGGGCGTGCAGGAGGCGGCCCATTGATTGTTCTCTCTCATCCATGTTTCTCTCTCTCCCTTCCTCTCTCTCTAAAGTCAATAAAGAAAAATAAAAACAGCGTATGGGTCAGAAGACACTCGCGGAGATGATGTCTGATGGAGAACTGGACAAAAACGCGGGGCGAGACTTCAGAAAAAGAAGAAACAAAACACCGAGCTTGCTGAGCCGCGTTGAGACAGGCCAACTCCGTACACTGCACAGCGCATCGCCCATGAGAAACCCAGGTGTGTTTAAGGAGGACCAGGAGACCTCCCAGATCAGACCGCCCAAGGTACTGAGTTCGTCTCTTTCCACGCAGTTAGGTGTCTGGTCGGTCGGACCGGAAATGCCGGACTGCAGAGGACACGCGTGATCATGCCCGGAGGGTGACCCTCCGCAAGGACAAGCTGCCAGTCCGCCTGTGAGACACGCGCACCACCGTCCTGGTCGCTGTGCCGAGACCACCACAGAGCAGAGGTCTGACATTGTGACTCTTCAGTGGGGCCCCAGGACGATCTGGAGACGTGACCGCAGGGCTATCTGCTGACGAGGCAAACGGATGGCACTTGCCGTCAAACGGGATTTGCTTACACAGGGACGCCTGCGACAGGGCGGGGGGACCTCACGGACCCTCCGGGAAGAGCGCTGAGAATTCTACCAACTACCTCAGGCTGCGCGCTAAGCTTAGAACTCACTCACAATCAGTTGATAGCTCTTGTTCTGAGAAGTTCCCCAAGTGGCCTTTCTCATGGCCGATCCCTTCGTGTCTGAGGCAGAAGCCCCAAGGGTGTGGCGAGAGCAGTTACCAGTTCTCTCCGGGTGCATGACCACTCGTGACCACAAAACCCCGTGGTCTGAGCCCGTCTGAGCACAGCCACTGGGTCAGCTGATGAAGAGCTGTCCTGGGTACAGTCGGCTGGCGGCAAGATCCCCTAAATAAGGAGGCTGAGTCACCACAGATGCGTGAGCACACGGGCAGACCGGGGCTTTGACGGTGGCCCACGCGTGCGGCTGCTGACGGTGGAGACCAGGGTCCTGCAGGGCCCTCGTGGGGAGGGGAGGGGCTGCCCCAGGGAAACACATGGGCTCACCTGTATGTGTGGAGCAGGAGTGGACAGAGCAAAAGACTGTGTGACAGTCCGCACCCTGCATCAGCTGTGGGCACCACGCAGAACCGACGTGGTCCGTTTCTGGGAGCCCCCAGCAGGCTCTCCCCACTGAGGATTTCCCTCCATCCTCCCCCCTGGGGTCAAGTCCCGCTCCTAACGGTCTAAGCACAGAATGTTACACTTGTCTTCTCTCTACGTCTCATGTTGGCAGCTGTTTTGTAAAATCTCGCGTCCGTGTATTTTCGCTCCTTTTCAAGACCAGGTCGGCAGTTGTTCCTGGTCGCTCGTCAACCCGCCCGGCCGTTGCTGGCGGCGAGCTGGCCGCGCTCCCGTGGGGAGTCCCTGACCCCGGAAATCAGATGACGACGGGCAGTGGTCACTCCTGCCGTGGCTTCAGCCGTCAGCCGATGGCATCGTGATAACAAGACCACCTTCCTTTCCTGCAGCGCTTTCGTAACCCAGAAAGACTCGAGCTGTGTGCACCCGACAGGAGGACACTGGCCCGAGAGCAGCGCAGTGACGTGAGCGGGGAGCGGCCGGGACTGGGCTCTCGCGAGGGCAGCCTGCGTGACCGCTGCTGGGGGCCGCCCGGGGCCTGGCCAGGGCCTGTGGAGCCTTCGCAGCAGATGCAGATCGAGCGTGTCACCTGATTCCTCGAAGGACTTCCGTGACATGTCGTTATGGGCCGTAAAGGAAACCCTGGATTTCTGCATCAGCAGACTCAAATCCAAAGGCCAGCCTTCTAGTCACAAGTCACGATGCTTATCTTGGCTAAGGGTCGCGTCCCCCCGACAGTCCTGCGCACCGACTAGGCCACGCGTATGAGGTACCTGGTACTGCTCCGACACTCCACCCGTGTGTCCAGCCGGGCGCCTCCCTGCGCTCCGCACCTGCACACAGGCAGTGGCCAGGCCACGTGTAAAGCAGACTCTGCGCCACAGCCTTCAGCCACCTGACCAGAGCCCCACCTCTTGTCCCTGACAAATAACCCAGGAAGCCAGCCTGCGTCAGACCTGAGGAGGCCAGAGGGCTCCCTCCAGGGACAACCCAGGAGCTGAGCAGTCACTTGTGCCCAGGCAGCTCTTAGCAACTGACAGCTTTTCCAACTTGTGTCCAACCAGGACCAAACGGAGAAACCAAAGATGTTCCTCTGGCCAGTCACAGGAGGTGCCCGGCTTCCAGTGAGCACCTCCCTCCGACCGCCGGTGACCAGGGCACACGCGGCGGCCCCCTCCCCGCCTGCCTGTGAACCCTGCGGAAAGTTGTGACAGCGCCGACTCCCTGCTACTGGAAGCCCGGGATAAACAGCCTCTCTTTCTCGTTTGGTTTTCGTTCATTTCCACTGTCCACCTCGTCTTCCAGAGTAGAAGTCTGGCTGCGCACATGGCCAGCCAAACACACACGATGCATTCCAGCCTCCCTTGCAGCTAGACGTGTTCACGGCTAAATTCTGGCCGCGGGAGGACGCCGGGGAGCTGTGCGGCAGCACCCAGCACGGCCACCTGTCCCTCCACGCTGGGTGGCGACACCATCAGCGGTACGTAGGCTTGGTCTCTGAGGATGGGATCGATCCGAGCTGCCGTATTAGCCCCAGAATTTCATGTAATAAAGAAATACACGTGACAACAATAATAGAGCAGTAGCTTCCACTTAACACACATCCTTAATGTGTGTGTGGCATGGTTCTAAGCTCTTAATAAATATCAATTCATCAATCATGTAAAATAGCCCTCAAGCCCTGGCCGGTTTGGGTCAGCAGTTGGAACATCGGCCTGTGGACCAGAGAGTCCGGGTTCGGTTCCCACTAAGGGCACGTACCAAAAAATAAATAAATAAATAAAAAATAAAATAGCCCTCAAAGCAGGTTCCACTCTTATTCTGACTTTCAGAAAAGGTGGTACGCAGAAATAAGTTGTCCAAGGACAAGCAGTTTTTAGGCTACTGTTGCTTGGGGGTGTCTATGGCTTGTAGCTGAACTTCAACCCAATTAATACGCCTTTAGAAAAGAAAGTTAAATAACTGCTGAGTGGTCGAACTGGGGTTCGATGAGCAAGGTCTGATGCAAAGCCCGCCTCTTCCTGGGTGACTCTGCCCCGGCACAGTGAGCTGCTGGGGCCCCTGCCTGCCCCCCTCTGCCTGACGCCCACAGGTGTTCTGCTCAGAGAGCCAGCTGCAGAATTCAGCTCCAGCTCACAGCAGACAAGGCCTGGGGTCTCTTCCCAAGCTCCGGAGTGTTCATGCCCCTAAGTCACCCGGCGTGAGCTTCACCAGGTAAGCCAGCTTCGTAATCAGAGCCGTAACTACTGCAGACTGTCACTGATTACATAACTACACGGATTAATTCAAAGTACTTGGCATGCTGTACGTCTGACAGACAGCCCTAGTAGTTATAATACATCTTTGGTCTGTATTGTTTTGTTTTAAACCTTACCTTTATCATTCGGGATAGATCACCAGCATCAGCTAATTCCAAAACGATGTTTAGTTCATTATCTTCAATGAATGACGCATAATATTTAATTACATTTGGATGGTTGAGTTGCTAAGGAGAGAAAATAGGCATCAAAATGTTTCCTTAGGGTAAATTCCTAACAGTTTCATAACTTAAGAATAAACTTCATTACAGTGTTTCATTTTTAAGTTACAGAAATCTTAACATGACTGTATTTTTCTTTTTAATCTTGTGAATTTTATAACAAGTGTTATAATTATTGAAAGTAAAACTAGGTATCAATTAATTGTATTTTATTGTCTTTTATTAGAAATAATAAAGTAAATTATGCACTTAAAATTTTAAAAAGTACTACTATGTTCAATAAACATATTCAAACAAATGAATGACATAATTAAGTCATCAACTGCCAAAAATTACTTCCTTCAGAATGAGAACTGTCATTTCAGGGCACTCAATGGTAAATAAAGTTTTCCTTTTTTACTCCTCTTTTGGAGTTAGGGCTGATCCTATTATAACTACATCCAGTGGTTAAAAGACAAAACAAAAACTTAAAAAAAAAAACTTAACAACTGGCATCTGTTACATTGTATCTAAATACTGCCTTCACATCAAATGACACACATATACTGAACTTATCTATGGAACCGATTCACCCCAGGAAAAATCTCACCATGCAGAAATGCATGAATCAGTTTATACACATTTACGATGTATTTATACAATCTTTTTTCAATCTTTAAACAAGTTACATAAGACAAACAGTTTCTCAAAGAAAATTATTCAACAATTGTTCTAGAGAGAAGATACATGAGTTCCTTCTCTTTCCACGGAAGGCTCCCCCACCAAGTTGCGTCTATTTTTAAAGTCGTGACTCATTTCCTAGGAAGTAACTAGAGCCAACGGAACGGGGAAAGGCACCATTCACTGTGGTCTCACTTTCTTCACTTTGGATCAACCGGATTCATTTTGTTCACAAACAGAAAAGAACGCCCAGTCTTATCTAGAAGTTAGGACTGCGACCTAGGCCACAGTGTCCCTCTAAAGCCATGTCACCAGAACGGAGCAGGCAGATGACTGAATTTCAGGCACAGGCTTGGAGTGGGTGGGAACGGAAAGGCTGATTCTAACGTGCTCCTCACATCGCCCTACCTAACCTGCAAAAGATACAAAAATATCAGTCCCTTGGGAGCTGTCTGCATCGGTCCCTGTTCTCGACACATCACATCTGAGATCACACTGACGTGCGCTCAGTCTTCAGAATCGACGGGGGTGGCCGGGAAGAGAATTCCTTGTGCTCTGTGCCCACTTCATCTATTTCCTGCTTGGAAATGGGGGGGGGGGCACTAATCCTACCTAACGATCTAATTAAATTATTTTACAATGATTTCAAAAGGTAACTATATTCTTCATTACACTGAGACTCAAACTTATATGTTACTTGAAATTAGAGCAGCATAAGTTGTCTTAAAAACCCTTTTGCCTGTCAGTGTAATATTTTAACACGTTACTTATCGAGACGCACAGCTGTGCTCAGCAGCCAGTGGCCGGCTGGTCACTCACCTTGAGCAGGTCGATTTCCTTGATACAGTCTGCACGGGCTTTCGCATCCATTAAATCGAATATCTGAAAACAGAATCCAGCATTATTTAATAAAATGCCAATCTGAGGTTCAAGCTACCATGTAAATTCACTACGGTATTTTACATATCATTACACACACGCTAAAAAATGTTCTTTCCGACAGCTTTTAGGAGCCGCAGAGACGGCAGGTTGCTCAGCGTGACCACCAGCACTTACGTTCCCCGAGGCCGTCGGCACTGAGAGCGGAGGGAGAGAGGAGGTGTTTCAAGTCTGAAGTTCGAGTGGGACGGAATGAAGGCAGGACATTCACACAAAAGATAACAGTTAATATATATCGGACAGTGATGTGCTCCGTGAACGTCCCCATCTAATCCCCACCCCAGCCTGTGGGACACTGGCAGCCCCTCGCAGATGAAGGAGGCAGGTCGAGGAAGCCCAAGGGAGGGAGACGCGTTCCCACAGCGACCGCTGAGCAGCCAGGCCCGATGCTAGTCCGGCGGAACCGAAGCGCTGAGCCATGAACCTGCGCCCAGACCGTGTCCGAGAGCCTGCGCCGGCGGCGGCGACACTGGTGCCTGGACACGGGGGAGACACGGCGCCCTCTTTTAAGGGCCAAGCACAGACATGCACACGGACGCTAGGTACACGGAAAAATCTGCGGAACTAAGACTTCATGGGCGAGGGCTTATCAGGGAAAAACGTCTCGAAAGGCTCCCTGGGGGATGATAATGATGAAAGGTTTAGAAATACTGGTCTGTGAAATGTGAAGACACATAAAAGTAAATCATACAATCAAAGATATTTAATGTCTCTGAAAACAAAAGAAATCTCTCGACGTTCTAAGTGTGGAAAACAAACAGTAAGTGCAGAGCGAACCCTAAAGACCACAGAAAGATCTGATGAAGTCAATACCCCAGCCGATGGGAACCCCATTACACACAAAGCCACTGTCATGACGACCAGAGTCATCAGCCTGATCAAGTGCTGCGGACCCAGCACCAGGACGGCCATGGGCACCCGCCAGCGCCGCTGGGGAGGGAATTCCCGAACGCCATCCAGAGCCGTCCGACCCGCACCCCGTTCCCACCAGGCAGGTGGGGACACACCCCCTCAGCGGCCAGGCTGGGGGCTGAGAGGGCTCCAACCCGCGCTCGGGACCCTGACACCAGTCAGCGCCACAGCCAGGACCGAACCTGGTCATCGCGGCTCCGGGTCTGTGTTTTGTCCACTGGCCCCGGCTGTTGTGGTGTCTCACACACACACTCACACACACACACTAACCACTAAGTTCTAACCGCCCCCGTGTGCACAGGGCAGCGGCAGGAAGTCCCGTGCGGAGGGGCCCCCTTGCTGCCCTGGAGAACCGGAGGGCACGGCCCAGACGGCAGGAAAACCAGGCTGAGTGCAGGCAGTGGCCTGGCTTCTAAGGGCCACGTCCTCTCGAGATCACTCTTAACACCCCCGCACGCGTGGTTCTCAAGTTTCCCAAATTAAAAAAAAAAAAAATCAGTGGGGAAAATATAAAATTTTAAGCCAAAATCCATCCCGACGCCACTCCCCTAAGCAATCCGGCCGCTCGCGTCCTCCGTCCGCACACTCGGGCCTCGGCCGTGGGGGACAGCAGCACGCGGGAGGGGGTGCGGCTTCTCGCCGGGCCACAGCGAAGCACTGTCCTCCCGCAGCCACCGCCGTTTCCGACGTGCTGCTTGTAGGGAAAACGGCAAATACCAAGTTTATGGTTTTCAAGTTTAATGTGAAACAGCTGAGCCTACATATTGTTAAGATTTGAAGAAAAAATTCAGGCTCTGTCCTAGTGAATGGCTGTCAGTGAGGGAGACCGATGGCCCGTCAGCTGAAGTCACAGGAAAGGTCGCCCAGAGGCCTATCAGAAGCGGTGACTCCTCTTTTCTCTGAGTGTGCCGCCCACCGCCTCGGCCACAGCGAACCTGTTGGCGACCATGGTTTCGGACGAACAGGATGCGTGGAAGGAGCCGGGGGGAGCCCAGGACTGTGGGAGGCACGTCAATACAGTAGGAAGCTCCGCGCACGGCCCTGCCTCCCCCCAGTTTGGTAAGAGCTGGGGCCGCAGCAGGTGGGAGTGGACGGGACAGCTGGGCCCCGAAGCACAGGCGGCGGGAGGACCCAGGAGCCCTCACACGCCGCCGTCCTCTTCCTCCCCACGGACACGGGGCGGCGAGCCCACTGACCTGCTGTGTGCCGCACCCCGGCTTCACCCGTGCGGAAGCCAGAGGACTGTCCCACCTGAGCACAGAAACGAGGCGCAAGCAAGCTGCAGAGCGCGAGCGCCGGAGCCGCACCAGCTGCAGGGGGCGCATGGAGCCCGGCACCGGCCCGGACCCCTGCTGCTGAGCACGACCCGCCGGAGCCGCACCAGCTGCAGGGGGCGCATGGAGCCTGGCACCCGCCCGGACCCTGCTGCTGAGCACGAGCGCCGGAGCCGCACCAGCTGCAGGGGGCGCATGGAGCCCGGCACCCGCCCGGACCCCTGCTGCAGAGCGCGACCCGCCGGAGCCGCACCAGCTGCAGGGGGCGCATGGAGCCCGGCACCCGCCCGGACCCTGCTGCAGAGCGCGACCCGCCGGAGCCGCACCAGCTGCAGGGGGCGCATGGAGCCCGGCACCTGCCCGGACCCTGCTGCAGAGCGCGACCCGCCGGAGCCGCACCAGCTGCAGGGGGCGCATGGAGCCCGGCACCCGCCCGGACCCTGCTGCTGAGCACGAGCGCCGGAGCCGCACCAGCTGCAGGGGCGCATGGAGCCCGGCACCCGCCCGGACCCTGCTGCAGAGCGTGAGCGCCGGAGCCGCACCAGCTGCAGGGGCGCATGGAGCCCGGCAACCGCCCGGACCCTGCTGCTGAGCACGAGCGCAGGAGCCGCACCAGCTGCAGGGGCGCATGGAGCCCGGCACCGCCCGGACCCTGCTGCAGAGCGCGACCCGCCGGAGCCGCACCAGCTGCAGGGGCGCATGGAGCCCGGCACCCGCCCAGACCCTGCTGCTGAGCGCGTGGGCCGGAGCCACCAGGGCTGCCCCGCGGGGCACAGGCCGCTTCGGAGAGTCCTCACGGAAGTCCCGGTGAAAGGAGTCAGCCTGACATTCAGCAGGTTCCCAGGGACGAGCCGCCCATCCCAGACCCCTGCACAAAGCCGGGAAAGTGACGTCACCACGAAGCACACCGAACAGAAACGACCAACGTTAGTGTCGCAGACAGTTCCGGACCTGATGTTAGACTCACACACACACACACACCACTTACACTTCACAGAATAAAAACAGCAAGAGAAACCACGGCTCCTGCCGGTGTGGAGTTGCCGCCACTCCCGGGCCGAGGCACGAGGCACTGGAGACGACAAGGCAGTGCCAGGGAGCACACAGTCCCCAGTGCCTCGGGCCCCAGGAATCCCGGAAACCTCCTTCAGGAGACAGAGAAAGGGCAGTTCCGGTGCCAGTGATCAAAACAGAATGGTCATGAGTCTGGAGACATGAATAAATCCAACCTCCGAGCAATCAATGTCTTTATGCTGAAAAAAATACTCAGAAACCGCCAGTGAGTGGGAGGGGCACAAGACAGGTAGAGCGCTTCGGAAGTCCCGGCTGGACACAGAACACAGACAGAAGGTGCCGCATGGAAACCTCGAGTCCTTGGCTCGGCTCCCAGCGTAAGACTTTAGAACTGAAACCGACGTGACTCCACAGTCTCCCAGCAGAGCTGAGCTCTCCAGCGCCAAGGCTGAGCCACGGCCTGCGCCGGCCCACTGACACATTTAGCTGGAGAGTCAGACGTCCCTCATCTTTCTGCTCTCGGCCAGCAAGTCAAGACAAAGTAAAATCAGAACGCTGGGATTCAATTCTTCCCAGACACGGACCCGAAGCCGTCTCGGTTCATGGGCAAGAAGCGGACACACGCGGGGAAATGAGAGTCTGGGACCCGAAGCCGTCTCGGTTCATGGGCAAGAAGCGGACACACGCGGGGAAATGAGAGCGTGAGCTGGGCGGGAATTCTCGCCACGAGGTATTTACGAGCTGGCTTCGGAAGCCATCGTCATCGAGTTCCTCTGAATCTGAAATCCACCGTACACTTGGCGAGCGCGAGGCGACGGGCAGTGTGTCGGCACTGCTGCCGACAAGTTCTTGGGACTCTGAATCACCCGAAAAGAGCTCGTCGCCTTCCCATTCTGATTACCGGTGGCTCCGGGGCTGCAAGGGCGACAGAGGCCCCTCCAAGACACACACGAGGCCTGAGGAGCTTGGTAGGAACGTCCTCGAGAAGACGCGCGTCAATTTTAGACAAAAAACACTCAACGCCAAAGCACAGAAAGTGCTTAAAAACACACACAGAGAGCTCGCGAACCTGCCGTACCCACTTGAAGTGAGTCATCAGTGGGCATCTCACCAGTACCCCCTGGGCCTCCCCAGCTTTACAGAGCCCGAGGGAATGAGCCAGGCAGCCTGTCCCCAAACCGAGTCCCACAGCCTTCCCCTTCTGATCCCCCCTGGAGCAGTCCCCTGGTCACCCCCTCTTCTGCCCTCCTGGCCCTGCTGCCACAGATGTGCACGCCCCTCGGTCTCACCGCCTATGGCCCGAGGCTTGTGCCTGCCGGTCTCCCTCTCCCAATGCAGCGACATGTCTGACCCACAAGTCAGAAGACAGGCCTCAGGTTCTCTCTTGTGGGGTCCTCGGGGTTCTGGCGGCGAGGGTAGGGAACTGGGTACCTCTTGGTATCACTGACCACCCATAACTGTGGAAACACCTGCATGGGCAGGGGGGACCTCTCTACTCCGTGGGCCAGTGCAGAGGTCTCGCTTCCAGCCTGTCACAAGCCCTGTCCACAGGCAGGTCTCCTCCAGCCAACAGCCTCCGGACTGACGGCAGGAAATCACCTGCCGCTCGGACTTCTGAGAGCGTGAGGCCCAGCCCGGCTTCCGCAGGGTAGGAAGCAGCTGCTCAGGTGCAGCGGAAGCTGGAGAGAGAAGGTGGGTGTGGGCGAAGCAATCGATCCAGCATCATCACCCCGAGGAACGCCCCAAAAGAAGTGGGAAAAGAGAAGCCGCTGCAGGGCTGAGAGAGGGGAACCCGGACGGGGGAGAACAGCAAGTGCCCGCCGACGGCCGAGGCCAGTGTGAAGCGGCCGCGTGTCCAAGACCAGACTCGCAGACAGGCCAGCAAGCCAGCTGCCCGTGCCACAGGCAGAGTCTCCACGGAGAAGACAAGGTCCCACCCGGGCCCAGTGCAGTCAGGACAGCGAGGCCATCGTGAGCACAGAGCAGAGACTCCCGGCCACGGGAGCCGAGCGAGGGCACGCGTGCTGCGGCCGAGGGCGGTCATGTTTAGCTTCCACTGGACATCATAACCAGTTTTTAAAAAGGGAAGCTCGGATTTCTCGGGTGTCTGCGGAGAAAAGAGATCAGGGCTGCGGAGTCGCGTGGGGCGGCTGCGCAGGGGTGAACAGGGCACCGGATCTGAAGGTGAGTCAAACTGCCTGCGGCCAGAGGGGCCCGGAGCCAGAAACAGTCCTCGGACCAGACGGCAAGGGGAGCGGGACCTCCTCGGCCGTGAAAGCGGCTCCGCGGGGCTGGTCGCAGGTGAGGGCAGGGCGTGGGGAGAGGAGCTGACGCAGGACACGTGGGAGCAGGAACACAGGAGCCAGAATGAGCACAGCCGGCTCCCGCGGACGCACACGCGGCGTGGGTCCCGGCAGGACCGCAGCCCCTCTCGGATCACTGCGCGCGTCTCATCTGCTACCGATGGTCTGCCCGCGCCCTGCCTTGTCCACGCCCTGCCCGCGCCCTGCCTTGTCCACGCCCTGCCCGCGCCCTGCCCTGCCCTGCCCACGCCCTGCCATGCCCACGCCCTGCCCGTGCCCTGCCCTGCCCTGCCCACGCCCTGCCCGCACCTCAGCAGTGGAGGCGGTACCGCTGTCCCACTGATGCCCAGGCGGCAGGACCCCTGCCAGCAGCGCATGGAGCTCCGCGTCCCGCGGGAGCGATGCCGGAGACTGGTCACCCGCAGACCTGGGACAGCGGCCCTGGGACACCGCGCTCCCCCCGAACCCGCACAAAGCAAATCGCTCCGCTTTGGAAGCCCGGAGGCCACAGCGAAGCAGACACTTCTTGCGCTGGGCGCCCCGGGAGGCCTGGGGGTCCCTGTGCGAACTCCCACGATCCCCAGGTGAGCCCGCGCCGGCCAGTGCACAGCGCGCCCTCCCTGCCAGACACGGTCACTCAGGACGGCGCCACACGGATCCGAAGAGTGACATCCCCTCACCTGCACTTTCTTCAAAGCCACCGGCACTCCGTCCAGGAGACAGGCTGCTCTGTAGACTTCGCTGAACTGCCCGCGGCCGATTTTCTTCTCTATCCGAAAGTTGGCTAAGGTGTTATAGCCCATGTCTGGCCGCAAGGCCTTCTGTAGGCAGAAGAAAAAAAAAGGCAGAGAAATGTCAGTCACAGGGTCACAACCAGCAATGTTTCCCAAGAGCAGCAGCCACGCTCCCCGCAGGCGCCTCCACCCCGCGGGCTCTCCTCCAGGCCGGGGTCCTGAGCTGTGCACAGCCCGGCCCCACAAAACTCACATGCTGAGGGGGCCGCACACAGGGCAAATGTGAAACATACACAGAGTCTGTCAGGCAGGAAGGACTGAGATGCCCACCGAGGACCAGGGACGTGAAATGTAGGGAGGAGAGACCAGGGTTTGAGGTGGGCGGACAGAGACGTGCCCTGTGCATCTAGTACTTCGGGTAACTCTCTTTTCAAAGGCTCTGAGTTGAACTGGAGTAAGTATATATGTTCAGTAGCTCACCCTGCCCACAAATGCATGAAAACTTCTGAGTTTCCCCGACAATCATTTAACTTCTACTAAGAGCGTTTCCAATGGCAAGGAGTCGACTAGTACATCATTACTTAAAAACAAAAAAACAGAACACTTTGTTTTTAGAGCAGTTGTAGGCTCACAGCGGAATCGAGAGGAAGGTCCAGAGACCTCCCAGACGCCCGCTGCCCTCCATGCACAGCCCCCCATCATCAGGGCCTCACCAGATGGCACGTGTGTTACAGTCGATGCCCCGCATGGACACGCGGTCAGCACCCCGAGTCCACAGTGGACGTCAGGGTCACTGCGGGTGGTGGGCAGTCTGGGTTGGCGCAGCTGTGTGGGGACCCGTGTCCAGCCCTGGGGTACCGCACAGGGTTTTCCTGCCCTGACAGCCTGTCCCCCGCCTCCGCGCCCTCCCCCCCCCACCCCAGCAGACTGTCTCCCTAGTCTGCCTCCCAGGGGGGCACAGGGTTGGAACCACACACTGCAGACTTTTCATGGTGGCCTCTTCACTTACTTCATAATTACATTTTTAAACAACATGGTTTTTTGTTCTTGGAAAAGTCACTTCTTTGTGTAACTAACATTTCTCAGTGCTCACAATGCGCCACACACTGGGCTCGCTGCTGGGGAGGCCAAGGTGGGTCAGGACGATTTCTGCGCCAGGAGTCTGCCAGTCCGTGGAAGAGCTCCTAATGCCACGCGGGCGATAATCGCGGGGTTCGGAGGGGGCACGACGGCCATTCCCGTGTTGAGACAAACCCAGTGCGTCTGCCCAGCCCCTCGGTCATTTGCGTCTCGCGACTCACTCGTTCGATCAGAGGGAGGCACTGAGCCTGACTGTGCGCAGACTGTCCACTGTGAGGCCGCAGCTCGCACCCAAGGATGCCCCCCTTTACGCTCATGACATCGCCCCTACTCGGAGCAGCTCGACCTACGTGAGACAGCCCAGTGACCGTGGGCCCTTCGGGGTTTTGGTTTCTGGTTTTGGCTAAGTGCACACGGGCCTCTCCCAGACCCCTGGATGAGGGGTGAGTAACTCCGCTCACGTCCTGCCGGCCCTTCTCCCCACTGCGCCAGCTGGAGAAGCTGTTATTTAGAGAGGAGAGATTTTTTATTTCGTATTTATTTATTTATATCCTCACCTGAGGACATTTTTGCATTTATCTTCAGATAGAGGGGGAGGAAGAGAGAGAAACATTGATGTGAGAGAGACACATCAAGTGGTTGCCACCCACACGACCCCATCCGGGGCCAAACAGCAACCGAGGTGCGTGCCCTTAGCAGGAACCGAACCTGAGACTCTGGTCCACAGGCGACACTAACTGCTGAGCCAAACCAGCCAGGGCAAGGAGATTTCTTCATTGTCTGCTATTTTCTAAGAAATGCAGGTATTTTTAAACCGTCCACAACATGGAAGAAGCAGAATTCCTTCCTCTTCCAGGTTTCTCCGGTGACCCCATCGACCTCATCCGCAGGGGCGCTGTCGTAGCCGCACTTGTGCGGACTGGGAATCCCATCGTCTGTCGGCACAGTAACTGACAACCGTCAGCATGAGCGCTAAGGCTCTGTGACAGCCACGCGCGGAGAGCGGAGTCTCGCTAATGCGGCCTGGCATGTAGGTCTGTAATCACACATTTACATATGCAATGACCTACATTTGCATGTCGATCGCACATTGTCTGGGTTTGTTAGACTGGGCACCTCCCGGTGCTCGGGGCCAGAGTGGCGAGAGAGGGCCAGGGGGCAGTGTGTTTTGGCAGCTGAGGGATGAGCTGCCACCGAGGATTAGGCTGACGTGGCCTGAGCATCAGAGCTTCGTCACACGTCGTCTGCTGAACAGTGGGCAGTGTGTCAGCTTCGCAGCCTGTCTGCGGCCCCTTCGCCATGGCTCTTCAAAGGCACTGTGGCTGATGACAGCTGTTCTCATTGGCTCCTGTGTCCTGGCGCCCAGTGGGACATGCGAGCTGGCACAAGAGGGTCACAGCTGCACACCCCAAGTGCCATGGTCTCGCCACCGCACTGCACTTTGCACAAAACGAGCGAGTGCGACAGGGCCCCTTGGAGACCGGCAGACAGGTGGGTGGTGCAGACACCTGGGGAGTGAACCTACCAGACCATTCAGTGCCATGCCTCGCTCGATGCCCACACCGACCACAGGGAGCACTGTGTCAGGTGCTTTAAACAAAAGGACGGTCTGGCCAGTGTGGCTCAGTGGTTGAGCGTCGACCTACCAAGAGGTCGCCGGTTCAATTCCCGGTCAGGGCACATGCCCAGGTTGTGGGCCCGATCCCCAGTGGGGGGCAGGCAGGAGGCGGCCAGTCGATGTTCCCTCTCACAGATGTTTCTACCTCTCTCTCCCTCTCCCTTCCTCTCTCTCTAAAACCAGTAAAGAAAAAAAATTTTTTAAGTAAATCGACAAAAGCACGGTACCACCAGGGGAATGCCACCCAAGCTAAGACCTGTTTCTAGAAAGAGCCATACTCTTACACTGGGAGTGAAATAACTCGGCAAAAGGATGAGGCTCAAATCAGGATGAATTATAACCAAACAAAATCACTAACCTGCCTTTGCTGCCCTGGGTGTGGTGTATAAACCAGGCCTCCGTCACCACCGTCCCCCGTGACCAGGGCATTTCTGAGCTGCACAGAATGGTTTGTGGATTCTACATGAGTCACCTAAAGAGTCTTCACCTCATCCAAGTACAACCTACTGCCGTTTCTTACCCTGTAAAGAGGGACAGTGATGCCTCACGACCTCAAAGGGCTCTCAGTGCTCCTGCACCTGGCCTGAGGCCTGGGCCAGCAGCCACACCTGCTGTTCCCCGAGTGCACGGGCTACGGCCTCACCACGGGCTACATATGACCTCACCACGGGCTATGACCTCACCACGGGCTACATATGACCTCACCACGGGCTATGACCTCACCACGGGCTACATATGACCTCACCACGGGTTATGACCTCACCACGGGCTACATATGACCTCACCACAGGCTATGGCCTCACCTCGGGCTATGGCCTCAGCTCGGGCTACGGCCTCACCTCGGGCTACGGCCTCACCTCGGGCTACGGCCTCACCACGGGCTACGTATGACCTCACCACGGGCTACGACCTCACCACGGGCTACGGCCTCACCTCGGGCTACGGCCTCACCACGGGCTACGGCCTCACCACGGGCTACGGCCTCACCACGGGCTACGGCCTCACCACGGGCTACGGCCTCACCTCGGGCTACGGCCTCACCTCGGGCTACGGCCTCACCTCGGGCTATGACCTCACCACGAGCTATGACCTCACCATAGGCTATGACTTCACCACGGGCTACGTATGGCCTCACCAGGGGCTATGCATGACCTCACCACGGGCTATGACCTCACCATAGGCTATGGCCTTGCCCTGCCCTGCACTGTGGTCTCACCTCTAACACCTTTTCAGCAGGTGAAGCTGATGTCCCTCAAACCCCTGGTGTCTGGGGATGTTAGTGACAGTCCACTGTCCCTGCAGGGCGACAGGGAGCACTGAGCACTGTGACCTTTGCCCCCAGTCCTGCTCCGGAGCCCGGCTGAGGCCCGGCGGAGACCCCTCCAGGTCCCATGCTGCCCCGGAGCCCGGCTGAGGCCCGGCGGAGACCCCTCCAGGTCCCATGCTGCCCCGGAGCCTGGCTGAGGCCCGGCGGAGACCCCTCCAGGTCCCGTACGGCCCCGGAGCCCGGCTGAGGCCCGGCGGAGACCCCTCCAGGTCCCATGCTGCCCCGGAGCCCGGCTGAGGCCCGGCGGAGACCCCTCCAGGTCCCATGCTGCCCCGGAGCCCGGCTGAGGCCCGGCGGAGACCCCTCCAGGTCCCATGCTGCCCCGGAGCCCGGCTGAGGCCCGGCGGAGACCCCTCCAGGTCCCGTACGGCCCCGGAGCCCGGCTGAGGCCCGGCGGAGACCCCTCCAGGTCCCGTACTGCCCCGGAGCCCGGCTGAGGCCCGGCGGAGACCCCTCCAGGTCCCATGCTGCCCCGGAGCCCGGCTGAGGCCCGGCGGAGACCCCTCCAGGTCCCATGCTGCCCCGGAGCCCGGCTGAGGCCCGGCGGAGACCCCTCCAGGTCCCGTGCTGCCCCGGAGCCCGGCTGAGGCCCGGCGGAGACCCTCCAGGTCCCGTGCTGCCCCGGAGCCCGGCTGAGGCCCGGCGGAGACCCTCCAGGTCCCATGCTGCCCCGGAGCCCGGCTGAGGCCCGGCGGAGACCCCTCCAGGTCCCATGCTGCCGCGGAGAAAAGGCACAGGTTCGGGATTAGTGGGCAAGACCAGCATCTTTCTGAGCCAGGCGAGCAACTCAAATTTTGTTTCCTTCGTCTTTAAAACAGGGTCACGCCTCCCCAAGGGTGTGTCTCAGTGAGAGGATGAACATAAAGCACCCAGGACAGAGCCAAGCACAGGGCACGTGCTCAGCACCGGTTACGACCCCGTCCCACCGACCACTAACGGGGAGCTTGTGCTTGTCCAGAACCTCCGACGTCCTCCAGTTTGCGAGGTTAGACAGCTCCAGTGTCTGGTCCCCCCCCTCTGGGCCCCATCACCCCCAGGCCAATGGCCTGCTTACTACGAGGT